GAGGCTGGCGCCTGACGCATGCGCCTACCTACCTGCAGGTAGCGTCCCGTTGCTAGGCAACGATCCCGCGCGCCCCCGGGCTGGAGACCGCCTGGGGCAGAGAGAGAAGAGTGCTTGCTGAGAGCTGAGCTGACAACGCTGGGCAGAGGTCAGACGAGGGGGCGCGCGGGCCGGGGCGTGAGGGATGGGGGGGGTGGGGAGAGTACGGAGGAGTAGATGCTGCAGAGAGGAGAGGCTGGAGGAGTGGGGCGGGGTAGGATGCGCAGCTGAGAGGAGGCTGCGCCCGAGGTGTGCCGGGTGCTGGATGGAGAGCCGGGAGCACCAGGGTAGATGAGCAGAGACAGGATGTGCAACCTAGAGGCTGTGAGGAGGGGCCAGCCAAAAAGGGGACTCGACCAAGCGAGACTGGCAAGCGCAGTGCACACGGAGAGAGCAAGGACAGAGGCTGACCGGGGCGGGGCGGGGGACGGAGTGGATGTGCGCAAAGGCTACCTGTAGGTGAAGCCCGCACTGCCTAAGGCCAGAGAAGAGTGTAGCAATCTAACATCCTGGTATTTTCTCAACCTAGCACTTTTGCACCTGCTGGTGACTTCTGCTTGAAGCCTGTCCACTGGAGGGGGGAGGGGGGGAGAATAGCACATCTAAGAACTGTAAATTCAGTTTTATTTGGGGACTTAACTGAGGATTATAGCCCTGCAGACAGCCTCTCAGACAACTCTGAGAAACTGCTTCAGCATGGAAGAGGTGAGGGCAGAGGTCAGCGTATAGCAGATTCGGAGAACGGGTACCTGCAGTCAAACACATATCTAGGTAAAAGTTTACTGCTAGTTATCAAGCACACACAGTTTAATTATTTTATTGCTTTTCTAAGTATGTAAGATGCAAGAAATTTGGGTTAATAAAATTTTCTCCTGAAAATTTCTATCTGAAGGTCTATTCTGTGAGTTTTCCCAGAGAGTAGAGTATCTCATTCCTGATTTCCACCCTGAACTCTTTTCAGGCTGTGTTAGTGACTCAGTTAACAACTGCTAATGACTCAGTCCTTGTGGAGCCAGCTGGCTGGAGACATTCTTTAGTTGGCATTCGTTTCAGAACTAGCACAGGTGCCCCCACCTCCAGGAAGTCTTCCAACCTTTTTCATTTCCCCAACCATCTGCAGCCATCCCTGGGCTAGTTGTTTTGCACAGTTCTTGGCTAACATTTCCCATGTTTTGTTTCAGTTTATGTGGGGCAGTGCTGGGCACGAGATGCTTCACTAAATGTTGGTTGAGATAAGTTCCAGCATGGGCACTGACAGACGGAAATGAGCATGAGCTCTTGCCTGGGTCCACATGCATCCGAGCTCTCATTGCTCAAGTCAGGAAATATTTGTTGAGCACCTACTGTGTACCCAGCACTAAAAATATAGTGTGAACAAAGACAATCCCTATACTTAGTGCCTGGTTCACTGAATGCAAGGCTATGAGCAAGGAGGTCTAGTATAAGCAGACCCTTAGAGGAGCTCTGGGAAACTTTGAAAAATAGCCCTCTTGTCACTGGTGAGTGTGGCCTAATTTGGTGCGGAGTGGGCAGCAAAATGCATTCCTTTGGCCCCTCCCTTTCCAGGATTTGCATGGAGGCTCTCTTTTTCAGATCGACTGTTTTCACATCAAGTCTTAATAATGGTCAGGTCAACATATTTTGTTGAGACCATTGTTGAAAATGTGTAGTTTGGAGCAGATGGTTTATCCAGTTTGCCACACTTAATGCAGTGTGGCAGCTACTGAGGACCAAATGTTACATTTGCAGACTTGGAATTCTGCAAGGGATGCAGACTTGGTGATTCTGCCCCCTGGAAAGGGCAGTTGTACTGAGATTAAAGCAAAGGAGAGCTGTAACTGTGTATCGCCTGGGGATTTTGTTAAAATGCAGACTCTCAATCTCTAAGTCTAAGGTGGGACCTGAGAATCTGCATTTCAACAACTCCCAGGTGATGTAATGCTGCTGATTATGGACTACACTTTGATGAGAAGGGGTGTAGAAAGTAGTTTATTTGGGTGCATTGATTCAGGTGCATTGGTCACAGATTGGCAGAAGGAGCCACCACATATTCCCATCCCCTCCCTTCACCACCACCCCAAAAGTAGTGACTTTAAACACACATGTATTATCTTACAGTTTTTGAAGTTTGAGATCCAAGATGAATCTTACAGAGTTAACATCAAAGTGTTTCAGCAAGGCTGGTTCTTTCTGGATGCCCCAGGAGAGATCCCTTTCCTTGCCTTTTCCAGCTTCTAGAGGCCACCCACCCTCCTTGGCTCATGGTCCTGAATCACATCACCTTTTCTCCCTCTGCTGCTATCACCACACCTTCTTCTACCCTGTCCGACTTCACTGTGTCCCTCTTATAAAGGCGCTTGTGATTACATTGTGCCTACCTATATTTGTTGTTATTTTAGTTGCTAAATTGTGTCTGACTCTTTACGACCCCATGGTCTATAACCCGTCAGGCTCCTCTGTCCATGGGATTTCCCAGGCAAGAATACTGAGGTGGGTTGCTGTTTCCTTCTCCAGGTGATCTTCTGGACCCAGGGATTGAAGTCACGTCTCCTGAGCTGACAGGCAGATTTTTACCACTGAGCCACCTGGAAAGACTGCATACCTGGATAATCCAGTATAATTTCCCCAAAACAAAAATGCTTAATTTAATCACATCTGCAAAGTCCCCTTTGTCATATAAAGTAACGTAGTTCATAGATTCTAGGTATTACTTTGTGAACACCTTTGGGAGCCATTGTTCTCCCCTGACATGCTGTGTATTTCCTAGGGACAAGGACATTTTCTTACTCATATTTCAATTACCACAACCAGGAAGTTTAACCTTGATATAATTCTATTATGGAACTTACAGCTCACATTCAGTTTTCCCAACAATGTCCTTTACAGAATTCTGTCTTCTGTTCTACACCCAACTAAGGATCATATATTGCTTGAGTTGGGATGGCTGTTTAGGCTCCTTTGATCTGGACCAGTGCCTCATCTTTTTTGTCTTTCATGATGTTGACATTTTAAGAGACTTTCTCTCAACTTGGCTTTGTTTGATGTCTTATTCCAGTTTTACATTTGGGGCAAGAATTCACAGAAATGTATTGTGTCCCAGGACAAAGTGCATCACATCAGGAGACACATAATGTTATTTCGTCCCTTTATTGGTGATGTTTGCTTTGATCAGTTGATTAACTTTGTGCCTGTCAGGTTTTACCACTGTTAAGTTTCTGTATTTCTTTTTGGAGTTAATCCATAACTTGTGGATTCCATAAATTGTGGAGATAAACTTTGAGACTATATGAATATCCTACTCCTTGTCTTGTCCTTTTTCTTGATATTCATCAAGTTTTAGTGTTCACTGATGATTGCTTCAGGCATACTATGATCATTACAAAATATTTTTAAATTCCACATTTATTAGTTGGCATTCTTCTTTGTGAAAGAATTTGTCTGCTCTCCCATTCAGTAATTTATTCTTATGTGGACTCTTACATTATTCAATTGATTGTAATCCATTACAGTTATTATTGCTGAAGCTGAAACTCCAATACTTTGGCCACTTGATGTGAAGAGCCAACTCATTGGAAAAGACCCTGATGCTTGGAAAGATTGAGGGCAAGTGGAGAAGGAGGCGACAGAGGATGAGATGGTTGGACAGCATCACCAGCTCAATAGACATAAGTTTGAGCAAACTCTGGGAGCTAGTGAAGGACAGAGAAGCCTGTTGTGCTGCAGTCCATGGGGTTGCAAAGAGTCAGACATGACTTAGCAACTGAAAAATAACAACAGTCATTACTAATTTTGGTGGCCAAATTACTTCAGATTTGGCTAGTAATAGCCCCTTCAAGCTGACTCCTCTGTCCCCAACCATTTTATTTTTTAGCATTTTCTTATTTTGGGGGAACAGCAAAATATTCCAGGTGTATTAGACTTTTCCTGCCTGGATATTGGTCCTTTCTCCAAGGAACCCTGGTTCTTTTTAAATTGTTAAGGCTATTTAAAAGCAAGTTCTATCTGAGGCTAGGTGGGTGGGGTGGGTGGAAATGAACTGGGAGTTTGGGGTTAGCAGATGCAAGCTATTATATATATAATGGATAACAACAAGTCCTATTGTATAGCACAGGGAACTATATCCAATATTCTGTGGCAAACCATAATGGAAAAGAATATAAAAAGAATGCATATATTAATGTATATGTATAACTGAATCATTTGGCTGTATAGCAGAAATTAAAACATTACTAATCAACTATACTTCAACTTTCAAAAAGCAGATTCTGTGTGTCCATTGCTACTGAGGTGTTTTTGCTTCTAGGCCTTTGCAGTGGAAAGAGCTAGGAATTTTTTTCCATATTCATATCTATCAATCTACTTATCTTTCCCTCTTTAAACTGAAAAGCGCCTCTAGGAAATGTTAGGACTCGATCTAAGGCTAGTATTCACTTTATTATTAGATCTTTTGGGGTTAAAATATGTCAGCTTCAGAAATATGAAGATGGTCAAGAAGAGGCTGGGTGCCAGGTGATTTCATATCACAATCTTCCACTGTAATAGTTAATATTAAACATTTATTACTCACTAAGCTATGTGCTTCACGTGTATTTAGTATCTCTTCTAATCCTCACAATTATGAAATACATATCTTTGTTATTCTGTTCCTAGATCAGAAAGCTGAGGCTCGGAGAGACTTGGTAACTTGCTGAAGATCACACAGCTAATAAACAGGAGACCCAGGACTGGAACTTGGTCTGTCTGATCCTGGAGTCTGTGTTCCCCTGCAGCATACACCTCTGCTCACGTAGCCCTGGGCAGTAGCTACAGTGCCAGGCATTTTCCCTCCCTCTCTGCCTCAGGGCTTCTTAGTGGTCCCTGGTGAAATATATAAGCCTGTCTTATGTATGTCATAGATGACTGTAGCTTTTAAGCTCACAATAGTGTGCTTGCTAGGCGCCCAGAGACCCTCTTACACCCTCCTGCCTGCTCAGCTATTTTTCAAGAGTAGAGATGTGTGGATAAGTGGAGGCCTCAGCCACTCTTAAATACCCATCCACCAAGCTCCTGGCCAGATGAACCCCAGGACCTATTTTGTGACCTAGGACAGCTGGAAAGCTTTAGAAAAAAGTTCAATCAAATGTAAGAGCTATTGGCAAGTACATATACATTTATTGGTAATTTGGGGGAAGGATGGGCTCCCAGAAACATCTCATTTTTGTCCCAAAATGAATCTCCACTGGTTAGAATGTGTCTATTTTTTTTTTTTAAGTCCAATTAGATTGTGACCCTGTTTTGGTGTTTCCCAAGCCTGCCAGGATGGAAACCAATTACCTGAAGAGGTGCTTTGGAAATCACCTGGCCCAGGCTCTGGCAGAAGTGGCGATGGTTCAGCCCAGTGACCCCATAGAGTACCTGGCTCACTGGCTTTATCATTACAGGAAAACGGCGAAAGCAAAAGAAAAGGTGTGTACATGAGAGTTAAGTCAGTTTGGGGAGGCCTCTCAGCTTTCTCATAGTAATCTGAAACCCAAAGCAGGACTCTGGAGACACCCTGGGGAGTATCCTGTTTCATTTCATCTGTAAGGATGGCTTCCGCCCACATATCTTGAAGTATAGGGATTCTGGGGGCTGAAGAGAGAAACCAGCTCAGTGGAGTTGTGGAATTGATGGGTTTGGAGATACTACCAGGTTGAAGCTAGTCAGTTACAGGAGCAAATTCAGGAGGCCCAAAGTGCCTGGGGCCTGTGGTCTATCCCAGGGAGGGTCCATGCCTCTGGGGACTGACCAGACTCTACTCTGTCATATCACCCCAGGATAGACAAGAGAAGATCCAGCTGCAGAGAGAATATGAAAATAGCCTCAAAGAAACCAGAATGGCGGAAATGCTGAAGCAAGAAGAACATGAGATTCAACAGCAGTGTGAAAAGTATCATCACCAGCTGGGGAGGAGAAACTCGGCGGTGGGCACAAACCCACATCCCATGGTGGGTACCAGGAAATGCATGGAGTGTACTGAGGCTCCCCAAACCTACTTTCCCTCCATAGTCATATGTTTGCATGTAAATCAATCTTACTGACAATCCTTGTCAATGAACAAAATGCTTAAAGGCATTTTAGATTTCAGGAAATACCTTACATGTGACTGGTTTAAAAGACCAGACTTTAGAAAAATCTAAAGCATCACTTGGAACAAGCATATTTTCGTACAAGATTCTTTGAATTCTTTTAAAAGATTACTCAATATTTTTCAGAAACCAAATATGGTTTCCAGTATATACTTCAGATATATTATTTTATGTTATATACTATTTATTTAACTAATTTAATATAGGCTATTTATGTTTCAAGCCACAAGATGTCTCCTGTGATGCTCTAATAGTGGTCATGAATTATTAGAATAGTTAGCAACAACTCTGTATTTGTTAGTCTGACAAGCGTATCTTTTATCTCCCACAATTTTTGCCGCAGTCTTCTGAAAAACACCATGTGCCATTTTGTGCTTTCTACAAAGTACATGACACCTGGGGAGCAAATTGACTTCTTGAACTTGATATCTGACATCTTTGTAATGATCACTGTATTCCTGTGCATGAAAATCTTTAATGTAGTCTTATATAATTTATTAGCTTTTGTTAGTTTCCAAAACCAATTTTGATGAAGACATGAAAATATTAAAAGGATATTTTAATATTAAAAGGATATTTTATATGTGGTTTTCTACTACAGTCTGAAATCAGTAATTGAAGGAACCCTCCCTCAGGAACAGTTCACCACTTAAGCAGTTGTTGGGAGATGCTAGAGGTGAGATCATTATCAAAAGTGTCATCACCTCGGTTGCCCACGCTAATCCTTTTCTAACACCTGGCTTCACTGTTAATAGAATTGTAAATATACAAGGCAAGGAAAGACTCCCAAAACTGTACCCGGGTTTTATGATGGAAAACTTCGCTCACTTCAGTATTTTGAGTTGTCCCTTTGTGTGGCCCTCAGGAGGTTTCACACCCTGTAGCATATTCCTTAGCAAGATTTGGATGAACAAAAGGTTTGCTGTTCTTTTGCCAAGTGTGAGACAATTGGCAATTGTCAGGGAAATGAGAGCCAGCCTGATGCCTGGATTGTGAGCAAGTTCTCAGTTTTAGGAAAGAGTTCACGTGCAAATTCTAAGTATGGACATTTATTCCCTTTGTTAGAAGGAAGCAAAGGGAACCCAACAGGGTCTAAAAGAAAGCTTATTGCTTACAGGGCAAGGGAGAGCCACATCCTGGCACAAATTGAAAGAGCTAGATAAAGGGTGAGGAGGTGGTGAATTGAAAGTCACTCAGTCATGTCCAGCTGTTTGTGACACCATGGACTATACAGTCCATGGAATTCTCCAGGCCAGAATACCAGAGTGGGTAGCCTTTCCCTTCTCCAGGGGATCTTCCCAATCCAGGGATCAAACTGTTAGGTAGTTAGAATAGGGAAAAGGAGTCCAAAATGGTGGTGGCTAAGACAAGGAAGGGGAAAGACCGGGAAAATAGAACAAAGGAAGGTCAAAGGAAGGTCTGAGGACCGGAGTGAGGACTTCCGGTAGGACAGCACTCCCGACTAAGCCCAATTTGCATAGGACAGGCCCAGGGGGAAGAAAAAAAAACATATAAAAAGAGGAGCCAAAGGCCTTTCTGTCTCTCTCTCTCCCACGAGTGCGTGCACTCGCTCGCTCTTTCTCTCTCTTTCTCTCTCTCCCATGAGTGCGTGCACGCTCTCTCTCTCTTTCTCTCTCTCTCTCCCACGTGCGCATGCACGCTTTCTCTCTCTCCCAGCCCCAGCCCCCACAAACCATGGGGCGCTCTTCTCTTCGCATCTTTGGATCCACGTGCCCTCACACCTCAAAGATGGATTTTCCTGCTATCTTCTAATTAAAATAGAGCTGTAACACTGATTTCTCTAAGAGCTGTAACACGGTCCATTCGAGACCTGAGAGCTATAACACGGTCTGTCCAAGATCCGAGAGCTGTGACACGCGGAGGGCCTTAATGTCTGTCACTCCAAATCATTGTTGTGACGAGACAAAAACTGCGGAGCATACACTCATCTGACATCTAAGCATACACTCGCCTGACAAAACCAAGGTCTCCCACATTGCAGATGGATTCTTTGCCAGCTGACCCACAAGGGAAGCTGTGGAGGTACATCAAATAGAATAAGAGTCTAAGTTCTGGTTTCTTGTTGGCTCCAAGTGAATTGCAAACTATTCCTTGCTGCTGTCACCTTTAAATTTCATCACTAGAACTGTAAAACTTATCTGAAATAGCCCCAGAATGGGTTGCATTGGGTTTCAGAAAGCCTGCTGATTTAAAACTGATGGATTTTAACACCAGTACTCAAAGTTTTGCAAGATTTTCCTAAATATCTTAAAACCATCATTGCTTTTAGTACCCCAGATTGAATACTGTTGGTCTAGTGCATGGGTCAAAAGAGAAGTAGAAACAGAGCACTTTTTGTGTGGTAGAGATCACATCAAATTACGGGAATCAAGAAGAGACTCACAGAGAAGATAGCATTTGAGTCAGACCTGGAGGAAAACTGGCAAAAGTTGTCCTTGTACTGGTTTCTCTTCATTAACCAGAGGCATTTTTTTAGTTAAGTAAATCATTATTCTGTTTCTAAGTCTGAAAATCCCATTGTTATAAAGATCTGAGCCATACAAATGTTTCAGGAATACGTTTTTATGGAAACAATATGTAGATTTGCTGCACAGATTCATTCGTAGCACTTTGGAGTTAGGAGGGTCTTAGAGATCATGTGGGCAAGTACTTCACAGACCTCTCTGCAGTGCCTCACGGGGTCCACTGTTGATTGGACAATGGGCGAAGCTGGGGGTAGAACTTGAACTCCAAGGTTTCCTACCTCACCAGGGACTGCAGTTACGTGGATGCTTGATGTCTCCTTGAGTCTCATAGGTCACTGAGACTGTATTCATTTTTTCCATCTTTTTTCTCTCTGTGCTTCAATTTGGATAATTTCTATTGATCTGTCTTCAGGTTTACTGATCCTTTCTCCTGCAATGTCCAATATCCCATTTAAGAATTTAATGAATTTTTTTTTTTTCATTTTGGATAGTTTATTTTTCAGTTCTGGAATTCCATTCTGGCTCCTATCTTCTCTGCTGATATACCCTATCTTTTCACTCATTATGACCATTTTTCTCCTTTAAACCTGTAATCACTTTTAAGTTCTTGTCTGTCAATCTCATCATCTTTGTCATTTTGAGGTCTCTTTCTAGTATATATTTTTTCTCCACATTATGGTTCACATTTTCCTACTTTTTCACATGTCTAATAATTATTTACCTGTGTTCTGAACTTTGTATGTGATACTGTATAGGTCATCTAGACTGTGTAGTTTTTCTTTAAAAGGTGTTGAATTTTTCTCTTTCTGGCAGTTGCATTATTGGTGAATTATCTTGAACCTGTCAGATTTGTTTTATGCTTTTCTGGATAATGTCTTTTTCAGTTTTGTTCAGGCCTGAGCATGAAAATGTCAATATTGTATTCCTGCTATGCCAAGAATGTTTAGTCTCTGTTAATGCCTTTTTTTGCTCTTCTGCTTTTTGTTTAGCCACTTATATCTGTAGCAGGTTCCTTGGAGAAGACTAAATTCATGCAGGAGAATAGAGAACCCCTTGAGAAGGAAGCCTTGAAGCAGGAATCCCTGCCAGTAACTTCCGATATGATTCCAGGAATGCCTCAACAGAGCCCTTCTTCAGAGCCACCTGTCTCCAGCCAGGTTTACATGAACACTGGAACCCCACAAGAAATAAATTACCAGGCTGTTTAGCATGAAATTGCTCTTGAAATTCATCCTGGCTCCGAATCGCCTCCTTAGGTTATAGAAGGTGGATGATTCTAATGATGCTTCTCTCAAAGCTGCTGCAAGCTGAGAAAGTGGCCAACTCAAAGAGCTCTTGCTTGAAGATGATTAGCTATGTGGATTAAACCAAGATATGAGAGACTGTGGAAGGAGGTGTCTACAGGGACTCTCCAACCCAAGTCTTGTCCTGATAACCATGAAAACCCCTTAATTGTGTGAAGATTTGAACTATGTATAGGGTAAAATAAATTCATAATAAAGATTTAAAATAAGTAACTAAACTGATGAGAATTTTTTTTTTCCTCTTGCTTTATCATTTTTTGGAGACTAGACCATGAAGACACATCTGTTTCATATATTTGTACCACAGCTTTAGCTGAATTTTGCAATTAGGCCCTTCAGGGTGTTTACATGTCCTTATTTTTGAAACAACTCCAGTGACAGTAAAACTCAAAGGTTTGAAATTTTTTCCCTCATTTTCCATCTGTATTCATTCAGATATCTGTATGCTGATGATCTGATATTTATATTTTTAATCAAGATTTCCTTGAACATGACTCCCAGTTTGCTACCTCCACTTGGATAAACAATGGATATCTCCAACCTAACCATGGTTGACTCTTGAATAATGCAGGGATTTATCCGCATATGATTTACATTGAGTTGGCTTTCCATATCTGAGGTTCCTCCACATCCTTGGATTCAACAGACCACTGACTGTGAAGTACAGTAGTATTTACTCTTGGAAAATAACCACATGTAAGTGAACCTGTGCAGTTCAAACCCATGTTGTTCAAGGAACAACTGTAATCCAAATGGAATCCCTGATATTCTCCCTGAATTGGTTTCTACTATTTTCTTTTTTTTTTTTAATTTGCTCAGGTCAGAACTCTTGGTGTCACCCTTAGCTCTACTATTTTTATGTTAGCCCTAAATCTTGTCTGTTGACTTTCCATTTAAAATAAAGACAGCGGGATGGGGAACACATGTAAATCCATGGCTGATTCATGTCAATGTATGGCAAAAACCACTACAATATTGTAGAGTAATTAGCTTCCAACTAATAAAAATAAATGAAAAAAAAAAAATAAAGACAGAATTTAACCACCTAAATGCATAAGTCACCATCATTTTTGCCTTGATTGTTATAATAGACTGTTAACTGATCTCCCTTCTTTTGCCCTTGACCTCCTCTAGTCTATCCTCAACATTAAAGTAGGATGATGTTGGTAAAACATTAAGTCTGATCATGTCTAACAAGTAGCTTCCCATCTCAGTCACAGAAACATGTAAGGCCTGTACCATGACCTGCCGACTCTATAAGAGTGATTCTGCATCACCTTTTTTATTCTTTATTTTGTTCTTTCCACGCCAGCCATGCCAAATTTCTGTTCTTCAAACAGGACTAGCATGGTTTAGTCTCAGAAGTTTTACATTCTCTTCCCCTCCCCTTGGAAAGCTCTCACCTCCCCACACCCCTGGATTTCTGCAGATTCTCTTACAGAATTAAAAAAAAAAACCTCAGCCAAAGTTGGAGTTGGGACAGGCTGGTAGGGAGAACTCATGCTCCTCCACACATCATCAGTTGCTCCAAACAGGAAAATAGGAGATGCCTACATCTCCACCTGAAGGTGCCTCTACTTTAGCATCCAGCACAGAGAATAAAGGGCTTCCCAGGTGGCACAGTGGTAAAGCATTCGCATGCCAATGCAGGAGGTGCAAGGGATGCAGGTTTGATCCCTGAGTCGGAAAGATCCCCTGGAAGAGGAAAGGGCAACCCACTCCATGGACAAAAATTTCCATGGACAGAGGATCCTTGCCAGCTACAGTCCATGGGATTGCGAAGAGTTAAGACATGACTGAACGCACACACACACAGAATAAAACTTCCCTCCACCCCTGGTTCCAGCCAGTAAGAGAATGTAGTAGAACAACCAATAAGAAGCCTCTATAGTTGGGACCCCCCGCTTCTTCCAGTAAGCTCTTTGATTACTGCAGCCCCTCGCAATTCCCCCCTTTCTCTATAAAAGCAAGTTCCTTTTCCTCCTCCTCTGGATTTGCTTATGGTCTGAATTGAAATTCCTCTGCTTTTTCCTAATAAACACTGCAGCTGGTAAAATAACTGGCTATTCTGTTATTAAAGCGGACACTCTCTTCCTTTACATCTTCATTCAAAAGTTGTCTTTGCAATGAGGTCTTTTCAGCCATCCCATCAATGCTTCCTGTGTGTGCGCCTGTGTGCGTGCTCAGTCTCTTCAGTTGTGTCCAACTCTGTGCGACGCTATAGACTAGAGCCTGCCAGGCTCCTCTGTCCATGGGATTCTCCAGGCAAGAATACTGGAGTGGATTGACATGCCCTCCTTCAGGAGATCTTCCCAACCCAAGGACTGAAATCATGGTCTCCTGCATCTCCTGCATTGCAGGCAGATTCTTTATCACCGGTCCACCAGGGAAATCCATGCTTCCTATAGATACACCCTATTTATACTGCCACCCACAACATCTCACATTGGCTACATAATATGCAGGGCCTAGTGCAAAAGGAAAATAAGGGCTGCCTTGATCAAAGTAATGTGCTTCAAGATGACAACAGCAGAGCATTAAACCAAGTGTGCACCCTTTCCAGATTTGGTCCTGTGTAACTGTACAGGTTACACTCTCATGAAGTCAGCCCTGCTGTAGCCAGAGCTGCCACCTACATTGAACATCTATGATGAGGCCCTTTTTTTCCTACAGTGAACATCTGTGATGAAGTCTTGTCTCCCTCAGCCATGAGGTCAGACCTTAGGATGGGCAGATTAAGTATATCCAAGGTCACACTACTATTTTTTTAAGGGTGAGAGCTCCCACTGGCCTTCCCCAACACTCACACACATAAATCAGTCCATGACTGCCACACACAGGACCACATGTGCCTAGCTTGAGGGAAATGCTCAGAACCTTGGAACACATTGCTATTGGGGTTTGTCTCATGGGTGTGGATGGCTAGCCCAGGTCTGAGATGGAAATGTACTCTCCTTAGAAACTAGTGCTTAGGGACTTTCCAAGTGGTTAAGACTCCACATTTCCAATGTAGGGGGCACAGGTTCCATCCCTGGTCAAGGAACTAAGATCCCCCATGTTGCACAGTACAGCTTAAAAACAAAACAAAACAAAAATTATTTCTAAGGGGTGGGCAAAACACCTAAGCCATCCCTCTGGCCTGTCCCCTGGACACACCCCTATCCGCTCCTCATGTAAGGAACAAGCTCACCACCCCACTTAGGGAGTGAGAAAGCAAGGGATCCTGTCATTTGTTCTTGCTTCCCCCTGCAGCAGCAGGGACCCCAATAAAGTCTTTCCTTTAAAAAAAGAAAGGACTCATGCTTACAATTAATCAGAATACTTGGAGCCTCTGGAAAACAATACTTTCACACTGACAATCAGAAAGAATAAAAAATAAGGGTAAAAGCAACATGTTTAAAGCTTTAATGTGCTTATAAGTCACCTGGAGATCTCGTTAAATGTTGCTTGTTAAAATATCTTGATTTTCTAGATTACCAGTGGGATATGAGATTCCCAACAATTTTCTCCACCGTGCCCAAGCTGCCGGCCCAAAAACCACATTCTGAGTAGTCAAATGCTAGACCCGACTCTCTCAGTCTTAGCACCACAGGCATTTGGGGCGTTCTTTGTTGTAATGAGCTGTCTTATATACTGTAAAATGTTAGTAACATTCATGGCTTTTACTCAACAGACGTAGAGAAATGCAAATCAAAACTACAATGAGGTATCACTTCACACTAGTCAGAATGGCCATCATAAAAAAATCTACAAATAATAAATGCTGGAGAGGGTGTGGAAAACAGGGAACCCTCCTACACTGTTGGTTGGAATGTAAACTGGTGCAGCCACTATGGAGAACTGTATGAATTTTCCTTAAGAAACTAAAAATAGAGTTACCATATGATCCAGCAATTCCACTCCTAGACATACATCTGGAAAAGATGACAACTCTAATTTGAAAAGATACATATATCTCAGTGTTCATTCCAGCACTATTTATAATAGCCAAGACATGGAAGCAACCTAAATGTCCATAGACAGAGGAATGGATAAAGAAGATGTGGTACATATATACAATGGAATATTACTCAGTCATAAAAAAGAATGAAATAATGACATCTGCGGCAACATGAATGGATCTAGAAATTATCAAACTAAGTGAAGTCAGTCAGATAGAGAAAAACAACTATCATACAGTATTAGTTAAATGTGGAATCTAGAAAATGATACAAATGAGCTTATTTACAAAACAGAAATAGACTCACAGACATAGAAAACAAACATATGGTTACCAAAAGGGAAAGCTGAGGAGAGGGATAAATTAGGACCTTGGGATTAACAGATACACACTACTATATATAAAACAGACAAATAACAAGGTCCTACTGTATAGCACAGGGAACTATATTCAATGTTGTGTAGTAATCTAAAATGAAGAAGATTCAGATATATGTCTATATCTGAATCACTTTGCTATGCATCAGAAATTTAACACAAGATTGTAAATCAACTATACTTCAATAAAAAAAATAGATGTCAGTAGTACATACTCATATACCCTAGTTTAAAAATAAAAAATGTTTCCAGATATCAAACGTCTGTTATACACTGTCAAATGTCCCCTGGGGGAAGGGTGACCCATGGTCCTAGTTTACTTTGGTCTGAAAAGTTACCTAGGACACAGAATTTCAGTGCTAAAATCAGGAAATATGTATGTGTGTGCTCAGTCATGTCCAGCCAGGTCACTCTTTGTGACCCCATGGACTGTAGACACCAGGGTCCTCTGTCCATGGAATTTTCCAGGCAAGAATACTGGAGTAGAGTACCATTTCCTACTCCAGAGGATCTTCCTGACCCAGGGATCGAACCCATGTCTCTAGCATCTCCTGAACTGGCAGGTGGATTCTTTAGCATTGTGCCACCTGGGAAGCTCAAAATCAGGAAAGACCTGGGCAAATTTGGACTACTGGTCACCCCACCAGGGAAACAAAATTGCCTCTGTTTGAGAAGCACTATTCTAGATAAAAGTGAAATTTTTCTAACACAGGTTAAGGTGGCCATTTTCTTTTATAGAAAGTGGTGGGGTGGGGTTGGGAGAAACAATCCATTTGTGGGCAAAGAAATGTAAAATATTGTGATTTGTATAATCAGCTCCTCGTTTACTTCAGGTAGTCCCCGTGGTAATGGAAAGGCAACTTGTTTTGTTTTTTACCTGAGAAGCAAGAAGGTTT